AAGAAAAAAGATTGAGGGATAAAGGAAAAAATGCTTTAAAATCCTTTGTTACTCCAGTCAGAGTGACATGCCCAGAAAGAGTTTAAGGAAACTTGCTCATTACTTACCTATCCAGATCTGAATGAGCTCCCAAACACAAACCCCCACAACTCGACCCCCTAAAATCTATTCTTTCAGCCTGTCCTCCTCACTCCAGACTGCAGGCGCTACAGGCTATCAGAGAATCGGAGCAGGAATGCGACTCTTGACAGACAAATCTCTTAGGACCTCAGAATGAATATGTTCCCAATTAGCCCCATCTGATAGAATGTGAGTGTAAGTGAAACCCAAAGCGGGCATGATCAATGAGCACTTGACTCATTATTTCAGATGGCTTTGCTGCTGACAGACTGGGCTGCGATTAATCATTGGGGTGTTGCAAATCATTGTCTGACCACATCTTCCTTTTGTAGGTGTCAGTGAATTCTCAGTCATGTCTATAGTGCTTCAAATATCGCTCCTGTCACATTCAGTTCAGTTCTAATTAATCCTGTGAAGTGGCATCCATATTTAAATCTGCTTCCCTTTAGCAGACTTGTCAGTTATTCATCAAAGACTGACTTTTTTTCTCTCTCAGGGAAGAACTGCCATCTGGTGTTGGCTCTGGATACTGCAGCACAGTGACCCATTTGCTGCTCATGTCTCGTGGCGAATCATATTTGACAAAAAACAAGCTGCAAGCTGCAGTGTTTTCATCGTCAGGAAGCCTTCTTGACTTCCACGAACACGCAGCTGGATGTTTTTAAGGTTCGCACATACGGAACGGCTGTGACGTCGGGCACTGGAGATAAAACAGGCCTGCCTTGGCACACAAACACAACGCTACACTCTCAGCCTTGTGTACAACTGGTAGGGATGACACAAAGGGCATATGGCTTTATTAAGTCCTGCCGAGGGTGTTGTGCTGTGCTCTGGCAAAGCTCAGGCTGCAGGGCAACACAGAGGAAGCTTCGGCCAATGGAGCACAGGCTGCTGGGCTGATGCTGAGGGCCTCGGTAGGCCACTGTGTTGTGTGTGGGAGATGAGACCTGCCCTCCACCCTGCTTTAGTGTTATTAATCTCAATGAACTCCAGGTCAAAAAATGTATAAAAAATACATTCATTTTATTTGGCCAGTTGCTCTTCTTTTAAGTTGTGAGACATTTTTTATGATAAAAAAAATCTCACAGATATTTGCATTTTAGTAGTCAAATCTTGTCTCTAAAGATCATTAAAAAAAATACAATCATCCTATAGCAATTCCATAGCTCGTGTGTAAACTTAATGTGTCTTATTTGTTGAAATTACTCAGAGGCCTAGATATAAAACTCGTGATTCAACTTTTCAAAGGGAATGCTTTGTTAAATCAGCTTTTGGCCGGTGTGGCTGCCTGACTATACAAAGCCGCCTTTCCAAGTAATTTACTTCAGTTTCTTTCTTGCCTGAAAGAGCAAGACTTATCACCCTCTGAAACAAGAAAGAGAAGCTGTCCAATATGTGGTGAAAGTGAAGCTATTGTATTTTCATGTAACCAAAGCAAGTGGTTTTAAATGATCAAGTCTGATCAAAGAGTAAACGCAAACACTACTTAGAAGCATAAGATGGGGGGATTACTTCCCATGTCAAGTAAATGTCCTAATCATGCCTGACTGTAGTAATGTGCTGGTGTTTAAGGCTCAGAATAGGCAGACTTAGACTTAGGACAGACCTTTGGAGTCTCCGGGTGGAGTCTGTCCAGCTGCTACTTTTGCACCTGTTCCTCATTCTACTTGATCAAGAGTCCTACAAAAGGAGCAGTGCTAGCAGCCACGCTTCCCTGGATTGTCTTTTTTTTATCTCAGGAACAGGGTAATGTATTAGTATTGAGTGTAATCTGCTATTTTTTCCTCATTTGCCTGATTGGGTTCCACCAGAATTACTTTTTGCTGGTCCTAAAACTACAAAAACCAACTTACCTCTCAAAATTCAGCTGGATGGTTACCCTCTGACAACCCTCCAGCCAAAAACCCCTCAGGAAAAAAGAAAGCCTAGGTTATTCATTTGGAATTGTCAACAATCAGGCCAAATCTGCATAATTGTTTGTTCTCACCCCGCTTTCACCACTCTACTCCTGTCATTCTAAAGATTCAACATCACTCTTCACCCTTTACCCAGTTGTCCTGATATTTGCATTTAGTTTCCACTTTATAGTTTTGGGTCTTCAAAGTGTAACAATAGGTTTAAAATCTTCATTGCAGTTCAAGTGAGCGCTACATTGTGTGGTTTTTATTCAATGTTGCTTCTGCATTACATATTTAAACAGACTCTGTCCAATGAGGCAGTTCATGGAGCTCCAGGGTGCTTCAAATTGAGCCATTTTGGAATAGGTCATGAACCATACCTCAAGAACTTTGTGTTGAGAAAGCGTAAATGGTTTGAACTGGCTTCTTTGAGTAAGTTTTACACACTACACAACACAAAAAAAAAAAAACTGAACTGTCCCGGACTCTCAATAGATATTTCTTCCATGAGACTGGAGTTAGCTACCTGCAGTCAGAAACCCAACAATCAGTAAATACATTGATCGTTTTAAACATTTTTTTTTTTATTCTAATGTCTGCAAAAAAATACTGCATGATTGATTTAAAACTTTCAAACTCGTCTGATAACTAGTAACTTCAGTTTCTCCATGAATGGAACATAGATTATAGACTAAGGGGTAAATGTGTTGCCACTACTGTCAGAAAAGTTAAACAAAAATGTTTTGAGTCGAAAACTTGTTGTTTTTACAATTGTTTCAAACGCATACAAAAAGTCACGTTAACAAACCAACACGCACACTGTTCTGTATCACCATGACTGAACATTTTGTTTAGCTGCTGCCAAAGTCTGTCTGCCTGGGCATGTCATGTTTCCATATCTTGAGCCTGGCATTCAATATGGAGCTGATTTGTTAGTGAAACCACTACATGCTTTCCAAGCTGTCATTCCTCAAGCATTGCTTAATGCTGACAATTATAAAGACCTCCAAATGAGTAAAGAGCAAGTATTTGTCTGTGCGCCTCTCCAGTATATTCCCATCTCTGTTGTGGGGAAACTCGTTAGTTCCCCCCACAAGTATCTCTTACAGCAAGAACGCAATCTCAGCCTGGGTGGGTTTTTGGTTGTTTCTTCATTCCCCTCATGTCTGTGATTAAACTTCTGTCAGAGTCAGCTTATCATTATGGAGCTTCTGTATTTGTTCATCTCGCCCTAAACCCACTTATCTCCCGTCCACTTTGTCATTTGACTTTTGTTGAAAAATGGTTTGTGGATGTTTCTCTCGATTCAGCTTGCTAAGACGCATCCATTCTCAGCCCCAATGACTACTTGACTGGCCTTTGTGGTTGTTGGTGTTGTGCCTGTGAAGATACGGAGAGAGATGAGGGTGTTGGATGGCATAGGAGGAAGTTACAGTGAGATGACAGCTGGCAGTTATAAAGAAGAGAGAAAAAAAGTGAGGGCCAGCTTTGAAGATGGGTAGTAACGAGGTAAGGAAAAAGAATGTTACTGTCCAAAACTAGATGAACTTATGTAGAAAAACCATTTCTGGTTAAGTTTAATTTGTGAAATTAAATTTTGCAAAGGACTTGCAATCATCTGATGACAGTTCAGCATCCCAGCAGATCCTTTTCATTTTTTTGGTGACCTCTTGTGGCTAAAACTGGCTTCCATGTATACTTTATACCTACTTTATCTTGTCGATTAAGGGTCATCAGAGGCTGGATGGAACAGGACTTGGATTAGATACATCCTCTGCCGAAAGTAAGTTATCAAATTTCCTGACATGGTAAGTCAGCTCAAGCTCAAAATCTTGGTAGGTTAACCATTTTTTTCTATATAAGATTCAATTCAGAAAGACAGATGAATCTAGTAAGTTTTCTTTTTTTCTTAACATTTTTTAAAGATTATTTTGACGGTTTTTTCATCTTTTATTTTGTTTCCCTTATTTATTTATTTTTAAAGTGATTGAAATAAAAGTTTTTTATAATTAATACAATATAAAGAAATAAAGTTTGTATTTTTACACTCGTTATTCAATAAATTCTTATTGTTATACTTTATACACCATAGGTAGGGATGTGCTATATTGAAGGTTCAAGGTTTTCTGGTTGACACGATCAATCAGGAGTCACATCTGGGGAAACTAATGTCAATTGAACACAACAGCACTGCATTGATCAATTTCAAGAAGCTTTGCGATTGTTTTTATTTTTTTAATTTTTATCTTTTAAAGGGGGAAAGAAATTGAAGTTTGGCATCCACCACTACGCACTTCAACTTCCAGATATTTGAAATGTTTTCTCTGAAGCTCATATCAAAGATATTTCTCTCAAATGTAATTCATTAAATATTTTGACCAGTAAATATCCAAAAAGCTCTTGAATGCATGTTTTAAGTTTTTGAAATTACAAAAGATTCACTGGTAACTTTCCCAGTCAACAAAACTATTGTATAGTTTCCCTCAACCACTAGAGGGCACCACTCGTTCAGATATCAAACAGAATCCCCACTAACAGAGCTTTTCAGTGAATATTGTTATCCTTTTACTACACAAACAAAAAAAGATCATTTCATAACAAATTAATGCAGCCAGATGAATATTCAAATGTGAAATTTGTAAACGGGCAAATAATTGAGCATATAAGAACTATTTTCTTAAAAAATCCAGTGTGTAACAAATGACTTAAATAGCTTCATTATTCATGCTTTTTTTTTTCTTCTTGCTTCTACGAGTTAATTCTTATATGAAAAGCTCTCTGATATTGCTGGTGAAGACTCCCTCGTTCTACAGCGGGGGAGAAAAGCTGTGATCTGACCCCCTGTGCCCTTCTGTTCAAATGGTTCCGTACAAGCACACGAAAACTCCAGAGTGGGCGGCCAAGTTTCTCTCCAAGAGCGATTCGTTTCTTTCAAAGCCCACGAAAAAAGGTAGTTCCATCGAGCTGAGTTATGCCATCATCCTAAACCATGCTGTTGTTGTTGAGCTTGGTCCACTCGAAGATGTCCTGCTCGCACACAATGTCCGAGTTGATGAGGAGGTAGCGGTCGCCCACGCAGAAGTGCTTCTGGCAGGCGGCACATTTGAAGCACTCGAGATGGTAAACTTTGTCCCGCACACGCATCGTCATCTCAAACGCCCGGATCCTCTTTTCACAGGAAGCACAGAGACCGTCCTGACCAAAAAGCCTGAGAGGAGGAAAAGGAAGGTTAGAAAGAGAAGGTGAGGGTGACTCATCCATTCTCCACGATGGGAAATGGAACAGGAATCTGTCAGAATTTACAGTGGATATTATGCCTGACAGCGGTCAGTGGACCTGCTAGAGAAAAACATGAGCTCCCATCAAATCCCCCTCTTGGTCTGAACATTTTTGGTGAATTTGTGGAGCATTTTTGCCATGGCTTATTGTTGACAAATGTCTTTCAATGAAACAAAACCACAAAAGAAAAAAATGAAGAAAACACAAATCTACCTGAGATAATCTCGCCGACACAATTTTCTTCCCAGTTTGTAGTAGAGGCGGCGGCCGACCTCCCCCAGCCGGCAGCCGCACAGGTCACAGCTCAGGCAGTCCTCGTGCCAGTACTGCTCGATGGCCTTTAGGAAGAACCGGTCCCCGATGCTCTGGTGACACCCGCCGCACGTCAGCAGGGACGGGGGCATCTGCAGGACCTCGTCCACAGGCTCCCTGAACAAGAAAAGCACAACAGCAATGAGCTCTGGCCCTGACCGTAACCCAGCAGGTCATAGGCCTGGACTGGAGTCGGTTTCAGAAGAGATATTTGTGATGCAGGTGAAAGAGTTCAGACCTCCAGCTGAGACTGACTTTGGGTTTTCTCCCCAACAGAAACACGTCGCCTTAATATCCTGTCAGACCACATATTAGTGTAGACTGCTATATCTAGCATCATAATGCACTCATTTTGGATGTGTTAACTGTCTATTGGAAAATCTTAGCTAAAGCAAAAGACGTGTGGTGGGTTTTTTTGTCCCTTCAGGTCCTTAGGCATGCTGGGATAGTTTACTGTCACACTTGTGACGCTGCGTCTTTCAGCGTCTGCCATAAACCAGAAATGACATCGTTTTTAAGTTGATAGGAAATGTAGCTACTCACTCATTGGCCTCCAGCGATTTCCTCTCTATAGTTGCTGTCATTCTCGGGGAAAGCGATGTCCAGCCTGACGCAGAACAGGTCTCCGCGAGCCTACACGACGCTTCTCCGCGCGCTTCCGCTCAATTCTCGGGCTCGCATTTACACTTAACTTATGGTGTCCGGTTGCGAAAGGATTTCAAATGTCAAGAAACGTCCCCTGCTGAGCAGTTAGGCGAATTTGAAGGACGCTGTCATCGTTTCCTGGGGGGGCAGCTCCATGCCCGGTCCGTGCCGCTGCGCGCTGACCACTACCGAGACCGCGTCAGTGCGCCGGGGTGGACGCTCCTCCGTCCAAAGCCGCGCGCGCCGTTACTGTGCAGCAGCAGCATCGTGTTTAAATACGTATCACCCCCCCACCCCCACCCCCACCCCCCCATACCCGAGCTCTGCTTTCGTTTCCCTCTTCCTGTTCACGACCGCTTGACAATAGGGGGAAATCGCTCTTAAAGCGACAGCTTGAGAGCAGCTCAGGCGTGGAGCCGGGTCGTGACTGAGACTAATGACTTCATTATATGCCCTGGTTAGCCCGAGACCCGAGAGGGGGGAAAAGATAAAGAGGCATTTGTTGCAACTGAGACTCGTGCGTTTTCTCTCGTCGTCGCTCATGATTCCTCACGATAGGCACGACGTCTATTTATTAGGTTTTGGATAGAAGTACATTAAAGATCAATCAGGTTTTGGACGGAAAACATCTAGTTTGTAAGGCTACTGAACACAGAAGGTCGCTTTGGCATCACTAATTAATTGGATTACCACGAAACATTCTTATTCTACTAAGCTCAAAGTGTACAGTGTGTTCTGCTATTTTGCTGCTGTTCAGATAAAGTTCCATATCATCAAAGGCCGCATTTCTGTCTTATATCTTTTAAAATAAAAATAATTATTCTTCAGCTATTGGGCAAAAAGTAATCATCTTCTTCAAGTGGATTAACTGTCACGTGACCTTAACTGTGTACAATGATTTTTATTTTATTTCTTTGATTCTGTTACAAAAAAAAAGCCATACATTTAAATGCTAATGTTTATTTCCCTATGATTCATTTTCCTCCTGCTTCTAAGTAGTTTGCGGTTTTAGACTAAACAAGTATTCCAGGCATTGAAATGCATGTATTTTATTTTATTCTTCCATTTTTGCATTGCCCTCAGATTTGTCTGACAAGCCTTTGAACAACGTGGATGAAGAGAGGATTACGCTGTACTGAGGAACATCCTGAAAATAAGACCTTTTGAAGGTTGCCGCTGTGAGAAACGAATGCAATTACATTTCTAGCTGGTGTCCTCACAGCCTTTCCTTCTCAAACCAGAACTACAGCGGGCTCCCCCTCTTCTTATCTCCTGCCAGTGCTTCAGGGCTGCCCGCGGGAGGGAGGCACGCAGACAGCAGTTGGACTGGACAGAGAGATAAAGCGCCACAGCTCCAGCAGCCAGATGCAATGCATGGGGCATCGCAGGCAAAAAAAACTCTCCATGTAGGCTGGAAGCTTCCCTGGGCTGCACAGTTGTTGGACTGGGCAGGCTCTCTGGAGGCCCAGGAGCAAGGTGAGCGTGGCGCTGTTGTGTGCCAGCTACACAAAAATCCAAGCAGCTTGACTGGGATAAAAACTCAAACTACAAATCCTTCAAATGGAAAACTGTTTCAGCACTTTTCTACCTTTGCACAGTGCGGCAGAAGGGGATTTTATGGTCTTTATTATTGGAAAAAAAATGCCACACACACACTAAAACTCTGATATCCCTAGAATGGGAACTGGTTCAAATTTGGGGCTTCTCCTCTTATCCCATAAATGCTGTTCACTTAGTCATCATCGAAATGTAAAGGCAAAGAATGTGGAATACGTTCACTTGAAGGAGAAAAAAACATTCACTAGTTTTTAAAAACATTTTGCTTCAGTATTCCAAAGCTCAAGATTAAATTCATGATAGATGAGGAGCAAGAGGAAAGGAAAGTAAGTATTTTATGACACATGTCATCTACTTCCTGTGGAGCTGACTGAAAAAGCCCAAAGGATGTGCAACTGGCATGCAGAGTTAAGTCTTTCCTGGGGGGTGGGTGCACATTGCATTCACTTCCTATGCTGCACATGCATCAGGGCTCCCTTCTCATGGCTTTCCAGATAGACAGGCTGAGTCCAGATGGCTCAGCATGATAGGAATGACAAGCCTTACAGCTCAACCTTCAAACTCCAGCTAGTTGAAAGCCTTATCAATGTGTCAAAGATGTCACCAAGGAAAGGCATGCACCTTCCACTATTCTTGACATTCCTGCCTCTTACCATCTTTACATTCAAACATCGTCATCAAGAAGTGTACCGCTTCTCAAACATGGTTCATGGTCTTCTCTGCTGTCACATCTTTTTCTGTCCGAGTTTAATTTGGAAAGTAAACAGTTAAAAATCTGGTCGACTTTTACGGAAATGGTGACACTCATGTCCAGCTTCCTGTTTTGTTTGGTGCTGAGAGCATTATGGAGTTGAGAGCCATGTGGACCAGGAATTTGTGGAGGAATAACTTTCAGTGCTATGCAAATGGTGAAGATATGTAACAAATAATTGCGAAAACAACTGCAAGTTACTTTATTACAAGTTAACAGTGCCTCCATCAAGTAGTAAGCAAATCTCAACTAAACTTAATTTCATGATTTCATTCTATAAATTAGAGTAGATCAGTGTGTATATTGCGATACACCTGCATGCATGCCTATATGCCCATTTACTTTACTGACAGGCCAAAATTTGGAATATTACAAAAACCAACCACTTGCTCTCCAATCCATTGTAGGCATTCTTCGGTATTAATAAAATAAAAGTTAATCTGCTGCAAAAGACTGATCCTAAAGGTGAGAGGTGAGATACAGAACCACCTTGAAATACTGACACATGGTTGGTGCACTGTTGCTTGATTGAAAAACAGCAGGCATGGGAAATGACTCATTCGCTAAAAGGGAGCTTCACTTGCCCTTGGGATCCTCCCATAATCAGTGTTATCCCTAAAAGAAAACACTTTCAGTGGAACAGTGCAATCAAATTGCTGTGTAGCCATGTTAACTGCTTCCTGTATTTGGTAAAACAAAAGAGAGCTGGGTTACACATTCTTTTAAACATGCCCCTGGTCTGTTTTTTCCTCATTTAGGGACTATGTAAACACTGTTGTATAAAAGAAAGAATGTGTCAGAATGCCGTGTGCTCGTTGCATTCACCCAGAGATGGTTTCTTACTCTGCTATTGATTAGTAAGAACAGTCAAACTTAATTTTTTTTATTGTTTATTCTAGTAAATAAGAAAGTAACAAAACAGAACAGGTCTATTTCATTCTAAGCTACAGTAGGTGAGGCTCATGATTAGAGCACTCTTGAAGAGGTCCATGGGTGTAAAGTGGTGGATCTTACTGTTCATCTTTACTGCCACCTACTGATGAAATCAAATAAAAAATATTCTTACTTAGGCTGGCAGTATATCCAATGTGATCTTGCCCCTGTGATGCTTATTCTATTACTTGATTATGTAATGCATTCTTCGTATACTGGTGCAGCTTTTGCTTTAAATTTCTTTTGTATAAAGAATTGTGAGTTTAACGTAAAGAAATCAGAGATACAAGACATTCAGACTGGATTTCAACTTCACATATATTTCCAGACAAATAGTTTTCGCTTTATCACCAATCTGCACACAACCCGGTATACTTCTGCATGTTTGGGTGGCATCTTCTCAACTTTCGTTTTGGTTTAAGTCCTAGTTGTTGTGTAATGGCTGAACTATCCATCAGCCTATGGACAGAGGAATGTACCACTGTGTACTTCAAGGAAAAAATATATTCAATTGAGAACTGTAAATATTTACAAAACAAAAAGCTATGGTTAACAACACATTTAATCAACGTCATGTTTGTAAAATACATTTCTACATCTGTGGGGATTTTTTGTCCTTGAGATGAGTTTGACAACAAATATGGTAAGCAGAGAATAACAATAATGTAATGATAAGATAATACGAATTATAATAATGATAAGATTGTAAATGAGGATAAAAAAAGAAGCTGTAATTAAGTTAAGTTAAAGTTAAATGTAGCTTTACTCAAATGCACTTTTTAAAAGTCTTTATCCAAGATATAAATGCCAAAAACATCAATTATTTGTACATGAAACTAATTGAACAAGTGTTGCACTGCCTGATAGTTTGTTTGCTAACACCAGTATTTACCGAGGTAACCCAGCATTTCGAGCAGATAATGTTACATCAGGAAAAAAATAAACACTTTACATGGCATAATTATATGAGGTAGTCTAATCAAAGCTAATGATTGTGCAGATTTTCTTCAAAGGGGTGGTGGGTAATTTTGCCTGATCAGAATTAGCAACTTTAAAATTCTGTTTAACAGCAAACCCTTGTAATGATACCATTTTAAAGTAGTTTTTTTTACTAAGCGTGTGCAAGTATATATGGCATAGCGAAGATTTATTAGTCATGATATTAATGGTTAATTTATTTGGGCACACCTCAAAAGGCTAAAAGCCGCGCTTCGCCTTTATAAAGAGTTTCTCCGTCTTTCGAACCGTCTCAGTTGTCGGTGAGGCCGGCGGGGCGGATCCCACACTAGAGTGAAAGAGAAAATAAAGCAACACAACAATAATAACAACTCGGCCCTTTCGTACATTTCGCTAGCAAGCTTCCCATTGGATATTTAACAACAAGGTGGGTGAATGAACAGTTGTGGTATCGAGGTAACGAGGCTCCCGGCCGGCTGTTGGCCAGCACGCGTTGGTGTTGCTATCAGACAAGCAAGCTAGCAGTGCGTTAAGATGCTAAGTCTGTAGTGTGTGCTAACGATAGTACAGACAGGGCCATTTTTACAAAAGCTAAGAAATCACCGGCGAGCCTGCCATACTGCAAGAATAACGCACTGATTTGTGAACAGGAGCTTCAAGTTTATAAGCTTCGTAATCATTTGTAAGTCACCCTTTTCCTTAGACCGCAGAGTTGGGAGGAAAGTTAGCCAGCTGCAATTGAATAACAATAAGAGGCCCTACATAGATTGTCTGCTGGCGCACTCCTTGTGTTACGAAACTACAGCGAAGTTATAGTTAAAAATGATCTACATTTAGATGTTACTGATAACAACTCTGGCATGGCCGTGCAGTTTGCCCGTAGCTATAAATCACCTCTCAAACTACGTCCATAGCTCCTTATCGTTTCCTATAACAGTGTCCACTTTAGCATATACATATGTTGTACATATTTTGTTTTTCAAATGTGAAAAAAGCTTAATAAATTGTGCATCACCATTGTGTATACGAATGAGTAAAATCAAATCCACCACAATTGGAAGGGTGGCTAAAACTGAAAAAGCTGTTTTGATAAACACTAGGTCATTTCTAAAGTCACTTGTGTCTGAACCCTCAAATGAATTTCAGCAGAATTCAAGATGTGTTTATCATGTAGAGCTGTCTATCATAATGTTCACTTTTTATTTCAAGATGCCCTCAGCGATGAATGCAAATAGGACGGTGCAGTCTGCCAGCCCAGATGTGGGATCCGCTCCAGGTTCAATGGGCACACTTGGTGGACAGTCCGAAGTATTGAAGCAGGTGCTGGGTGTCATCGACAAGAAGGTCCGCAATATGGAGAAAAAAAAGGTGAGACTAATGTTATGATAGATACCTGTTCTCTGAAATTTACTTTGCCGAGTGACTGGAGGGGTTACCTGGAGAGCTAAACCACTGAATATGAAATAATTACTAAGTATTAACCGCATCATTAATGTTTTATTTCAGAGCAAACTGGATGATTATCAGGTCAGGAAGAATAAAGGGGAGGGTCTCAACCAGGACCAGCTGGTGGGTACACAGAAGCCCTCATCATTCACCATAGATAATCCAACAAGTTTTACACGGAACAAAATTATTTGATTATATTGACTGTGTGATTAACTATCATCTTTTTAGGAGGCCCTCTCTAAATATCAGGAAGTCATGAACAACTTGGAATTTTCCCGAGAGCTGCATAAGACGTTTATTGCACTGGGACAAGATGTAAGGATGACATTAGTCTTCTAAAAATCTTGCCTATCCTGCATTGGGTGTTGCTTTTTGTTTATTCTGCTCTATGTGACTCGCTTGCAACAGATTCAGAAGGTGGTGAAAAAGTCTGTGCGACGGGAGCAGCTGCAGCGGGAAGAGGCAGAGCAGAGGAGGCTCAAGACGGTTTTGGAGCTCCAGTTTGTGCTGGATCGGCTGGGCGATGAAACTGTACGGCAGGACCTGAAGCAGGGGGTCAGTAGCTCTCTGGTGCTGACAGATGGAGACCTTGCAGCTTTTGATGAGTTCTACAAGTTAGTGGGACCAGACCGCAATCAAAACATAAGGTTGGTTCAAGTCATTGATGTCTGGATCAGTCAAAAGTGTATAGCACTCATCATCCCTCTGTATGTAACAACGAGGCTCTTATAACTTACCTTTGTACCCCCAGATTGATTGACCAGTATGAAGATGCATCTGTACACCTTTGGGACCTGCTGGAAGGGAAGGACAAGGCTGTGGTCGGAACAACATGTAAGTTTGTTTCAAGATGTTTTCCAATATTTGTATTACCTCCATTATTGACTGAATATAAGAAGCAATCAAGTCGGCTTCCAAATTTATGATCAAATTAGATACGCTTAAATTCTGAATGTACCTGGGTGTATCTGCTACCTGTGTGAGACGGAGGACAGACATGAGCCTCGATCAGTAGATGTACAGAAACTCTGCAAATATTACAGGAAAAAATAAATGAAGGCAGCTCATCACTGCTTTTGGTTTAACAAATGCCAATGGCTTTTTTCATCAAGAGTAAACAAAATACTGCTGCTTTTTATTCTCCAAAATAAGTAATTTATCCACCTAAACTTTAAAATGGGAAATAATTGTTGATATAAACAGTTGTTTGTAGATGGATGAAGTATTGGTGCAGGTTTTAGCCAAACGTATTAAATCTTTAAAGTTGAATTGCTATTCAGATTTTTATTCTAGCTGGTGGTGTTAAAGCTGGCGGTAAAATTTTTTCCAAATTCTTTTGAATGGTCCCAAAACATATGATCACTGGACATGGTGAATGATCTGAACAATATCTTTTTGTCAGAAGGTTTTTTGGCTGGCCATTAAGGTTGGTCTTATTATGTTAATGTAGCATTTGCTTTGTGTTTTGTTAATGCAGCATGTGTGCAGTGCTGTGATGTGAATAATCAGGGCGCTGGGATATTGGCGTGCTGCATTCTCAGCGGTCTGGTCTCAGGCTTTGCACTGCTGCATTCTGCTCTGGGGCTGAGAGCTGGGGCTTATCCTGACTCGGCAGCAAGGCAAAGTGCAAACGGTTGCCTGTTGCCTGTGGTTCCGCTGGTCAAATCTTTAGAGCCACAGAAGATTCTGATGACCCAGTTTAGGAACCAGGGTGATACAAAGGCAGCTGCAGACGTCTGGTGAGCCTGGAGCACCAGTCAGCAAAAGACACAACACGTAGCTGCTCTGCTAGAGGTTTTCTCATTTGTGGCTCGTCATGATCACACTATCAGTACAGCAACATCCTTTTAATATTCAAAGAGCCTTCTGAGTCTGAATGTTGAAAATCTTAACGGAACATTGACATAGGCAGTTTTTGTTCTTCCTGTGTTTCATTTGAGCAGTTTGCTATCTAAGACCTCTTTTTGGTTTTGATGCCTTTTGCTTTACTGTTCGTAGACTACTGACATCTCATCATGTTGGGTTTTGATAATGGTCAAACATTATTTGAAATAAAGGTGCATACACATCTTCGTGTGTGTGAGAGCGTGCTCCCAATTATGTAGCGATATGAACAACTGAGTGTGCCTTCTGGGGGGTTTAGGATTTATGTTTGGAAGGATTCTGTTGTGTTTAGCTATGATTGCTGCTGAAAATGAACAATTTATGTTTGAAACACTGTATTTGGATGTTTTAGTGCACTTGTTCCTTAATGCTGAGTGAGGGTTTACTGAAGTTATTTGTTAACTTTGGTGCATTGAATACGGGTTAAGTGACTTAAATTATGTATAATTATTCTATGTTGTACTTTGTCATGTAAAGCTGGTATTATCCTCTAAAAGCTTGGCTCATTACCCCAGTTTGCAACTGTTCTCCATAGTTATCGGGTGTTCACATGAAATGAAATGAGTCAGCACTAATGGACTAACTATTCAGTATTATCGCTGTATGCTGTCATAGTTTTACGTTCTGTTTGGAACTCACCCTGTTTATCCCCTTTTAGACAAGGCACTGAAAGAAACTTTGGACCAGGTTCTGTTGAGTGGGTATTTCGACCGGGTTCCATGCCACCAAAATGGAGTATGTGAGGAGGAGGAAGAGGAAGAACCGGTAGCAGCGGCTGTGGCTGAATCGTCGGAAGCTGAAGAGCTTCCGACTGTTGATCCAGGTGCTGACCTTCCTCTGCACTTATGCTGCATGAAACTTGCTATTTTTGAAATGGTAATCTAATCAAGTCATAAGATAATCAGTCCAGCATTTTCTAAATAGTTTTTTTTTTTCTCTTATTCCAGAAACTGAAGTAATTGAAGAATTCACAGAGCCCATCACAGTGGAAACAACAGAAGTGAGTTACACGTCAAGGTTGTGTAATTCTATGATTATTGTAGCCTAACTTTGCCCTTTTTCTCTCCCAGTTTGTAAACAGACAGTTCATTCCAGACAGCACTTACAGCGGCAGTGAAAAGGAGCAAGGGGATGAGTGGACCAGGGAAACGGAGGTATGCTGCAGACATATTGAAATGAACACTACTTCTTTCATGTTGACACTTGCTTGCCTATTCTTTTCAGATTTGATTATTCATTGTGTGACTTTGGCTTCTGCACCTCTTGATTTTAGAAATGAAAGTTTGTCTGTATGCAGGGCCTGAACTATTTCATTATATTAATTTAACTTAGAACTGAAGCCATATGTGTATGTTTACTTTGTGATGACTTAAAAACTCTAAAAGGATTTAGAAAATGCTGAAGTACTTTGAGAAGAAGAGTGGAGGTCCTTAAATTACAGCCACAATAAGCAGCAACTGTTGTGATGTATAGCTGAGTTGCTTTTCCTGATGTCATATTATGTGTATCTTTGTTCATCTGTCATGTGGAAACAAGTTATGCTGCATTCAGTTTGCATGAGTCTTTGCAGTATGGGATTTTGTCTCTCACTCTTTGTTTTGCTGATAAGGTTAAATCATTTCTTCTGTTGCCATGTTGTACATTAATCATACCGTGCTCTTTATTTGCTACAGTGAGCAGAAGTAACGGCACTTAACCGCCATATGTTTGTCCCCGTCCTTTTTCCAGGCTGTTTCTGCTTTGCAGCAGCAGCAACAACCTGTGCAGCCCGCAGCTCCCCCTGTTGCCCTGGAAACCCACCCTTTGAACCTAACATCACCCGTTCCACCTACTGACCCCATGGCCAGGAAGCAGGTAGTGCAGGACTTAATGGCACAGATGCAGGGGACTTACAACTTCATGCAGGTGAGGTGGAATTGCAAAAACTTTCTATAGTTGATGTACCATGGTAGTAATTACTCATGTTCCAAGGACTCCATGTTGGAGTTTGATGGACAGCCTATTGACCCGGCCATTGTATCAGCGCAGCCCATGAAACCGCCTCAGAGCATGGACGTACCACAGATGGTTTGTCCTCCAGGTATGTTCGACAAAGAGAAGCGTTGTTATAATTTCTCCTTATTTGCTAGCGTGAAGTAAAAATGGGTAATCGAGCATTCTATTTGACAACGGTTTCAGTTCACCCCGATTCCCGGCTATCGCAACCCAACTCTGTTCCTGTCCAACCTGAGCCTGCACAAGTGAGCATCTAAAGACATGCATGCTGACAGAAATTATGTTGAAATCAGTGAGAAATGGCATGAAGAACATGTTTAATTTCTGCCATTTCTGTTCCAAGGTCCCCATCGTTTCCCCAACGCCACCTCCAATGTATCAGACCTCACACACGCCAGACCCCCGACCCTCGGCAGAGTCCATCGACCCCATTCAGGTAAAATAGATTGCTCACCAAAAAGAATTGGAGGGGGATTTGATTTCTGAAGTAAAATTGGTATTTTCAGTTTGCTAAAGAAAATGTACTTTAGATGGACCAAAATGTGTAAATTAGTGACATGTTTTCCTGGAAATACTGGGTCAAATAGTGGTGAGTAAAAAGGTACACCAATGCTATGTTGTAGGTATCTTTACCATATAAAACGTGTGTTTGCTTGTGTCTGTGTGTTGGTAATAGGACAAGTCCTTTTCCTTTTTTAGCACAAGATTCCTCATCAGACATTTGGAGCTTCAGTGTCAAAGAAGAGTGTCAATATCATTACAAAGTACCAAAGCTCAGTTTATACAGGAATATGACAGCTTCAATGAGCTGTGATTGTGATGATCATCACCATGTTAGGTTTACTGGTATGAGTGACTCCCTGGATAATGTTAGTATTTTGTCAGTCAACCATTAGAAGCGTGGTGGATACAGGGTGCTCAGAGACCCCACAGAACAATTTTTTTTTTGGTTTGAAGGGCTTTTTCCTTTTTTGCAAACCCCTTAGCGCTGGCAGTTAATCAAACGTATTCCTTGGCTGGGGAAATCCAGCATTGCAAGACTTTCCTGCCACTAACTGAACACATGATGTTACAGGTTAGCCAGCTCAGATACTAGACAGCCTTGTAGGCCTCATGCCAGTTCCCAATAAAGGAAATGGGACTATGTGTTGTAGAAACACATGCATTATGTCTTGTAGTACTAATCAATAATTTATCAGGTTGAATTCAAATTAAAATTAGTCATTTTCCCCCCGAAAAACCACCCGGTGATACACTCAGCCGATCAGTGAAAGGCAGTCTAACCGTCCCAGCTCTAAATGTTTTGTTGTATTGTGTCTCCCCTCTACAACAGACGTCCCTGTCGTTGTCATCAGAGCAGCCTCCCCCCACCTCAGCTCTCCCTCCTGCCTCTCAGACGCAGGTTTTCCAGCCTGTTTCCAAAGCTCCTCACAGCAGTGGCATCAATGTCAACGCAGCTCCATTCCAGTCAATGCAGACAGTAAGGCTGTGATGATGACACTCACCTCCTCTTTTTGCAGCTAAAATCCCCAATCTGTCTCTTATGTATATGGGAAGAAATTTAGAAAATTAATTATAAAAAGCACCCTCTATTGAAACCATTGAAGCTCAAATACAAACTCATGGCTACCTCATCTGATTGGCTGTATGGGTCTGCGCGACATTAATCTCATCCAATGCTGAAACTGAACTGGGCCCCTCAGTGACGGTCCATATGCAACCCAAAATCTGTGATTTCGGGGGCCATCAATGCAAAGTGTGTTTTCATACAACTTTGACTTCTTTATTCAGCCCCATGCATCATGGAAGAGTTACTCCCCTTTTGTTTCTAAAGGTTATCTTTTTTGCTGCATGTGTGAAATATCCTCGCTTCACATGGTTGCTGTGTTGCAGCATTCACAGTTCTCGTGCCTTTTTGCAGCTGCTCCTGTCAGTCCTGGGGTGTCATCAAAGCTTAATTTTACTCAGTTGTATTGTTCCTGTCATTTAGATGCAACTGAAGCTTGTAATACCCAGTGTGCATGGCCACTGCTGGGAAAATAAACTTTTGTGAACGACTTTGAAGTTGCTTGTTGAGTCCCAATGTGTCTACTCGTCTCTCTGTGTTCGTGTTTGCTGTGGAGCAGCTACACGCAGTAAATATTGAGCAAGAGAATTTACGGCTTATGAGCTTGTGACCTTTTCTCTGGTTTTGGCTTCACTACAATGTGGCCTTTGTTCGTCCCCCAGGTGTTCAACTTAAATGCCCCAGTCCCACCAGCTAACGAGACAGAGGCCTTGAACCAGGCCAACCAGTACCAGAACAGCTACAATCAGGCCTTCAGCAGTCAGACACAGCATCCTGTGGAACAAACAGAGATGCAGTCAGAACAGTTACAATCTGGTGGGCAGTCTTTTATTTTTATTTTCTCCAGTTATTCAATTTTTTATATTTGACTGTAATGGAAACATGACCAAATGATTTTTTTGTTTGTTTTAATCTAGTAGTGGGTGCCTTCCATCCTCAAGACCAGTCGGGGGCTCATCAGCAACCTTCCCAGCAAGGCCCAGGCTTTGGCAGGCAGTCCCAGTCCTTCTACAACAGCAGAGGCATGTCCCGGGGTGGACCCCGCAATCCCCGGAGCATGATGAATGGCTATCGAGGCACTTCAAATGGATTCAGAGGTTGGCTCACGTCTGCTCTCACTTCTTCCTTAAGCACTTTGTTTTTTAAATGTGGTGTCACTTTAATGTCAACCAATCTTTCTCACGAAACCCTGTTTGTTTTGGTGATTGTGGATATAACGATGGGAGTGAAATCTTGTAAAAATTGGCACATTCGTATGTGGACACATATTAAGCAAGAGCTAAAGTCATGTCTTAACCATTCATCCATTATCGTAGCCGCTTATTCCCTAATAGAGTCGTGGGGGGGACTGGAGCTGTTTCCTTTGTTAAATATCTTCTTGCACTTGTACTTCTTAAGCCCACTTTGTGCACTTTATAGGACTGGATATTACACGCTTATTTTATTGTTCATTTCTAGAGGAGCTATCAAAATTTAATTTGTGTTTATTTCCAGGTGGCTATGACGGTTACCGTCCTCCTTTCACCAACCCTCCAAACTCTGGATATGGACAGACTCAGTTCAGCACACCCCGGGACTACTCAAATGGGAATTATCAGAGGGTATGAACGGAGCATTCAGTCTGTGTTTGGCTTTGTTGAAGCAATACTTGCTCCCTGTTGAATTAGTTATTTAAAAGTTCTTCTTCTCTGCTGCTGCTAAAGGACGGTTACCAACCAAACTACAAGCGGGGAGCAGGCCAGGGACCCAGAGGAGTTTCAAGAGGGAGCACTCAAGCAATGCGATCCTGATATGGCCTTTCATAATGACTGTGACTGAATAACTTGCACCACACTGAAAATTTAAAGTCAAGAATGCATTTTCCCCAGCTCACTAGCGCTCTATTTTCTTTGTTCTTGATCAGTGGTATTTTTCCTGTGTCCTTAATCAAAGTGATACCTGCTTTGATATTTGGAAATAATAAATCATATAAAGTTCAAAACACAAGGTAAACTGTAGATTCAATCATTGGTTTACATGAGCCATGTGTTTCCAGATTCCTGTAAACTTGAAAGAGTCGATAAGTTATTTTTGTTTTTATTAAAACTGCACCTGCCACTGCTGGTCCAAATCATGGGAGTTTATTTCCCTGTTTTTTTTCTCTCTTCCCAGTCATTTTGGTTCAAACAAAACATTTTTGTTCAATGAGCTCCCATTTCCTTGTTTGTAAATTGATGTTGCTTCCAGAGTTTCAATAAAGTTGTGTTGCATACCTCTGTTTCACTGTTGTTGTTTTTTTATGTAAAGTTAAGTTGTGCTCCCTTTAGATTACGATTAAGTGTTGATTTTTACATAATTTGCTTTCTGAACCTCTGTCCCAAAAGTTGAACTTATCCAAATGTAAAGCAAACAATGCTTACCATTACATTAAGCATTAACATTCACGCATTTAAACTTCTTTGTAGATTATGTTACTGTACCGCATACTGTATAATTTGTACCAACGCGTGATATGTTTTGTGTGAATTTTTTTTTTCTTAAGGTGTTAAATGAAACCGGGAAGTACTTTATCTCCCAGCCACTTGCTCTGTTTCCTGCTAGAAGCTTTTTTAAATGCGTCGCATGGTTATGACGTCACGCAGGGGTCCTCCATGAACCACTGTCTCCACGTGAGTATATCCACGGCATGATGGCTGGCATGTAGCATACAGGACCAAACTTTATCTTTACTGTTGACATTTTTTTAATCGTGAGCCCTAGATAATTTATCCTCACTTCAAGGTAACGTTTTAAAACATGTTTCTGTGCTCGTGTTGTACTCGTCCATATAATAATATGTCGTCTTTGAGGCTTTAAACTCTGTTATAGCTTTTTATTGACAGCATTCTTCTAGTAGAATTGTATGGATATGTAAATATCTATAATTTTATGGATATGCTACATGGTTACTTCCATCTATGCTGCTTTTGTAGACGTCCAGGTGACCGTTATATTATTTTTTGTGGCAGGAAAAAGATGGCAACAATTCGAAAAAAGGTGGACAACCGGATTCGGGTCCAGATAGAGAATGGAGTCGCTACACAGAACCGATCCATGTTTGTGGTGGTGGGAGATCGCGGGAGAGATCAGGTAAATCATTGCCTCACGTAACAAAGCCAAATGTTATTTGTTTTTTCTGTTCGAGCTTCTTTGCTTGAAGTATCAAAACAATCCAATCTCTGCCTGCGACTCAGGTCGTGATCCTGCATCACATGTTGTCCAAAGCTGCAGTCAGAGCTCGACCTTCAGTGCTCTGGTGCTACAAGAAAGATTTGGGATTCAGCAGGTGCGTATAAAATCCACCGATGGATTTAGTTCCTGTCAAAGAGGACAGCAGTTTGATATGTCCGGTATGTCTGAGACAGCAACAGAAAGAAACGCATGAGGCAGCTGCAGAAGAAGATAAAAACCGGCACACTCAACCTGAATCAGGATGACCCCTTCGAACTCTTCGTCGCTGCCACCAACATCCGCTACTGTTACTACAATGAGACTCACAAGATTCTGGGAAACACTTATGGCATGTGCGTTTTACAGGTAAGGTCTCATTGTGGAAAAAAGAAAAGTTGTGGGAAAGTTTAACATCGATCTATTTCCGTCTATTGCTTTTTTTCCAGTCTGAACATCTGCTGTTTTAATCATTGCACAGGACTTTGAAGCTCTCACTCCCAACCTTTTGGCAAGAACCATCGAGACGGTGGAAGGAGGTGGTATTGTGGTCATTCTGCTCCGGACAATGAACTCCCTCAAGCAGCTGTACACCATGACTATGGTGAGTCTTCTGCATGCCCACAGTTATTTGACTACTTCTCAGGTGACGATAAACACCTGTCTCTCTCCAGGATGTGCATTCCCGATACAGGACTGAGGCTCATCAGGATGTGGTTGGCAGGTTCAATGAGAGGTCGGTGGCGCTCAGACTTTCAAAGAAGCATATTTTGGGAATGAATCACACGTTGGACAATAATTCTGCGTTTGTGTTTTGTAGGTTCATCCTGTCTCTCGCGTCTTGCAAAAATTGTGTTGTTATCGATGATCAACTCAACATTCTGCCAGTCTCCAGCAACATGGCAAACATCAAGCCAGTCCCTCCGAAGACCCAGGTACCTGTGTCACAAGGGAAACTGTTGTGTAATTAACGGAAAATAGACAATAAGTGCAATGACCTCAAATTCATTCGTTGGAGTAAAATGTTTACAGAAATTGATGTTTTGGGCCTCTGTGCCTGAACCATTTAAAGTACCACCAGTGATCCTTCTGGAAAGTACAGTTTGTTATTGCTTCAATTGATATTCATAGATACTCGCCAAATTTAAAGTAATAAATGTACGCAATTAAGAACTTTGGTTACACTGGTTTGTCTCCATTGGTGTTTCCACTCTTGTGGCCTACGCTCCCCTCTGACCAGCGACGTGTCCTACAGGAGGACAGTGTGTCTCCTCGAGAGCAGGAGCTGAAGGATCTTAAGGAGTCGCTCCAGGACACTCAGCCTGTGGGCGTGTTGGTCGATTGCTGCAGGACCATGGATCAAGTCAGAGTCGTTCCAAAGGGACAAACACACTTGCTACTCATTAGAGCATTTCCCATTCACATAAAAGTTTCCCCTTTAAAAAGAAAAAAAAAACTGAATCTTATGTCATTGTTTCAATGCCTGTTATCCTGCAGGCAAAGGCAGTGCTGAAGTTTATAGAGGCGATATCTGAGAAGACCCTGAGGAGCACCGTGGCTCTGACCGCCGCCCGGGGTCGGGGGAAGTCTGCGGCGATGGGGCTGGCTGTGGCTGGAGCCGTAGCTTTTGGGTACAGACTGGTTCTATTTGCCACAAGACTACAAAAGGTTTTAACCTCTTCACTCATTGTCCGTCATCACCAATAATTTCTTCTGTCTTTTAAAAAAAAATCTATTCAGCTACTCCAACATATTTGTGACCTCCCCAAGCCCAGACAACCTTCACACAATGTTTGAGTTCATCTTCAAAGGCTTTGATGCCCTGGAGTATCAGGTAGCCTTTGGTTACACTTTTTTGGGGGTTTTTCTAATATTTTCTGATTGTGTGAACGCGCCAAAACCTCACATTCTTTTTCGCAGGAGCATCTTGATTACGAGATCATCCAGTCTTTGAACCCGGAGTTCAACAAAGCCGTGGTGCGAGTGAACATCTTTAAAGAACATCGTCAGACCATTCAGGTGAGAGAGACCAGGAGGCGCTTCTTCTCATTTTCAATTAAAAATTAAAAAAAGGGGGAAATGGGTGACACGGGTGACCTCTTTTTTTTGCTGCGCCCTACAGTACATCCACCCTGCGGACGCGGTGAAGCTGGGCCAGGCCGAGCTGCTGCTCATCGACGAGGCGGCGGCCATCCCTCTCCCTCTGGTGAAGAAGCTGCTGGGACCCTATCTGGTTTTCATGGCCTCCACCATCAACGGGTCAGGAAGTGGCTCGGATCCGATACTGCTTCAACCCAGTCTTTAAACGATTAGAGCCTGGTCTTCCTTTTTTTTGCGCTGTGCGTTGATGGCCGGTGTTTGTCCCCCCCCTCTGCAGGTATGAAGGCACCGGCCGCTCCCTTTCCCTCAAACTGATCCAGCAGCTGAGGCAGCAGAGTGCCGACAGCCAGCAGAGCCTGTCGGCGGAGAACCGGAGCACCAACACGGCGCGGCTAGCGGCAGGTAGGCTCCTCTCCACTCCGCCTCGCCTCGCCCCGCTTTTCCTCTGAGTGACCGCAGCCTAACGGGGGGGGGCCCGTCCACAGCGCGCACCCTCCACGAGGTTTCCCTGCACGAGTCCATCCGGTACGCTCCGGGGGACCCGGTGGAGAAGTGGCTGAACGAGCTGCTCTGCCTGGACTGTCTCAGCATTCCCAGGCTCATGTCCGGCTGCCCACTCCCACAGACCTGCGACCTGTATCCTTTACTTTCCTCTAATTGAGTTTTTATTTAAATACGGTTTGATTAAAGCCTTGTTTCACGACTAACATGGCGGAAATGCAGTGCCTCAGCTGGTTCAGGATTGTCCTCAGCGCGCGCTTTTCCAGATATTATGTGAACAGAGACACGCTCTTCTGTTACCACAAAGCGTCCGAGGCTTTCCTGCAGAGGCTGATGGCTCTCTATGTGGCGTCCCACTACAAGGTATGTCCGTTCTTCACCACCACATCGACACAGGAGCTGATATCAGGCGTGGAATTTGTGGCGGGCTCTCCGTGTGTCCGCTGACCTCCTCCCCTGTCTCCAGAACTCCCCAAATGACCTCCAGATGCTGTCCGATGCTCCGGCCCATCACCTCTTCTGCCTCCTCCCTCCGGTTTCCCCCACACAGAACTCGCTCCCCGAGGTCCTCGCCGTGGTGCAGGTACACCACGACCATCCGTTTTTTAAAAAATGTTTCAATGCCAAACCAGATTTTTGTTTGTTCTACATTTATTTTTTGGGGTGTGGTCTCTCAGGTGTGTCTCGAGGGGGAAATATCAAGACAGTCCATCCTCAACAGTCTGTCCAGAGGGAAGAAGGCCTCAGGGGACCTCATTCCCTGGACCGTGTCAGAACAGGTAATGAGTGGAGCTCTAGTCTTTAGGCAAAGTCATCGATTCTAATGTTTTTACAGTCAAATGGTTGATTCTCTGCTCCTCCCATCAGTTTCAAGACCCAGAGTTTGGCAGCCTGTCTGGAGGCAGAGTGGTGCGAATAGCTGTCAATCCAGACTACCAGGGGGTGAGAGCCAGCAAAAGCATTTTAACTGATGTCTCAACTGAAGACCCTTTAGCCTGAGAAAAAAGGAACCCCCTGATGTTTGTAGCTACAGCTAGATGGGACTCACTGTTGATGGGGGCAGTTTTGAAAAACAACCATCGTTTCACTAATCTGGTGTTCTAATCTATGGTCATACGTTTTACCTGCTGCACCATCAGAATGTCACTGTGGGAATACTGATACACAGATTTTATTTAGCTATTTTATATTTTCAGAAAAATACTTTTAATTTCTACTAATCTCACAAATAGCATTTTCTGTATTTCAGCAGACACAAATACCAGGATGACTTCAGAAAATACACTTTTTTTTTTTTTCTCTGCCCACCTGTAAAAACTCAACTCAAGTTAATTAGTTAAATCTGGCTTTTGCCAACAGATGGGTTACGGCTCCAGAGCACTTCAGCTGTTGCAGATGTACTACGAGGGCAAGTTTCCCTCCGTGGATGAGGGCGCGGCCTCCAACTCAACGGAAATCATCCCTGTTAGCAGCGAGGTCAGACTGAACGCTCCCTGTAACGGCCGTCCGTGACGGGGCAGTTTCTCACAGGTAAAAAAGGAAAAACAATTAGATGACTGATGGAGTTTCTGGTTGTCCAGGCGGTGAGTCTGCTGGAGGAGGTCATCACTCCCCGGAAGGAGCTCCCTCCTCTGCTGCTGAAGCTCAGTGAGAGGAGGGCCGAGCGGCTGGACTATTTAGGGGTCTCTTATGGCCTCACTGCACAGCTGCTCAAGTGAGTTTATTAGGAAGAAAAGAAGCATCTGAATCTTTCCCCCCAGAATTGGCAGTGATTAAAACTTTTTGCAAATGGACAGGTTCTGGAAGAAAGCGGGCTTTACTCCAGTCTACTTAAGACAGACCCCTGTAAGTATTA